CAATACGTATCGTGTTGGCTGAAATAAGTTTCTTCACCTATCAGTAGGAATCCTTAAAAGGAAATGGGCGGGAGAATATTTTAAAGTAGTACTGAGAAGCGAGCAATATCTGCGGGAAGAATATTTTAAAGTAGTACTGAAGTGAACAATCTTCGGGTAGAACAACACTGTTTCAAATGATATATTATCGGTTACACGATCTCAACATGAGCTGACATCGGTGAAATAATCATTATAAAACCATTAAAGAGTACCAGATAGTTGTTTCGCCCTGGTCTAGGAGGACTTATCGGCAGTACACACCCACCGCCAAGTCTCAAACCCCAAGACCTTCCGGTTATGTGGCAAGCTCGTAGACCATTAAGCCCACTAGAAGTTGATCCAATAAGCCAGCCTATGAAATCCAACTTCTGGCAATTCACGATATATATACCACAACTACTAGCCAATGCCACCATTGGAGAGTTATTTGTCCTCACACTCTACCTGCTGTACCCCTACTGGTCAAGACTTCTAACTACAACAAGATTTTCCAATAGTTTTCCAGCCAATTTCAGCTCATAATGAAATTCTGTAACCAACCAAATCCCTGCAAACCAACAATTGATATATGATCGATAATTGCATTATTTGAATATTCTAAATCAGGCCAGTGAACACCTTGAAGTGAGAGTCACTTAAAATTCTGTATTATCTGTATGAACTCATTTATCAGAATGAAGGTGTCATTTTAGCTTTCATTTGGCTTTTTGAATGAGAATGAATTATGTGGATATTTGACCATTTACAATGATAAATGATCTGCAAACATTATTGATCCCATATCTTACAATTCCCTCATGAATTACGCATTACCTTTCCTCCCCCCCCCCCTGGATTACAGTTGTGGAATATACCTTTATACCAATAAAAAAAGTATTGATTTATAATATTTCGCGATTTTTGCATTTCTTGGAAACACCCACTTATAAGAAAATATAAACTATCATTATTGAGTCATAAGAAAAGGCACAAACAGCGAAGAAAATTTTCTTTTCGACGATTTATTTCCATGAACTGTACAATCGTAATTATAATAAAACACATAAGTTTTTGACCAATCAGATACTGGTAAACTTTGTCCTTGAAAATTCTACTTCATAGTGTGAGGTGTAAGAAGGGATGACTAATTGTAAGTTAGAAAGGAGACAGAAGTTGGCATGACCTAATAAGTGTGAGATAATGACTAATCAATAAGCTAGTGTAGAGTGGACAGGAACTAGTGGAAAGGTTATACAGTAGTTTTGTATAAGATCTGTGTGAAAAAGCAATGTTATTAATAAACAGTCATAGAGTAGTAATAAAATGTGGATGGTGGGAGTAGTAATAATAATAAAGGTATTAAGAACAGTAATAATAATAGTGAACTTACATATTAAAAGAGAGGAGAAAAATTATAGTAAGAAATTTACTCTGGCCATGGTAGGGCTAGAGAATGTGTGTATCGTTTTTGTATGCATAGAATCGGTTTTATGTCACGAATAGCTAATGCCTCAGCTATGTACAGATGTCGTATCCGTATCCTTTTGTACGATATTGAGGGACTCTGTATACTGCTGTGAAGCATTCGTGTGGGGGTGCTCGATGTCCGGAGATAACAAGGTGTTCGAGGATTGAGCTGTTGCTATTCTTCTTTTCTCCTCTGGCTAACCAAGCTGGGTAGTGTTCCAGGATACGTTTGTGGACTTGACGTTGCGTACGGCCGATATACTTTGCTCCACACGAGCAAGTGAATTGATAAATACACATTGAAGTGGCCAAAGGCGGTATCTTGTCCTTAACGTTAGACTGGATTAACTGTCTGCAGGAGAATGTTATACGTAGAGTGGCTGTTGGGAATGTCTTCTTCAGACTTTTTGACAGGCGGTTTCTGAGAATTTCCGCTGCGATGTCACCTTTGAATGACAGGTTCATGAAGAGAGTCTTCTTAGGAACCGTTGTGATATTTGGCACCGGGGGCTTCTCCTTCATGTTTTTGTCGATGAATCTTGGTGGATACCCATTCTCTAGTAGGGTTTCACGCAATAAATTTAATTCAATCTACATTGAGTACAATTCACTTGTGATGTTACTATGAAAATGCTGACAAAACTATACATGTGTATCACTTATTTTAAATTATTACCAAATTTGGATATAAATCAAGAATAAGACTCGATGCCGTACATACACCAAAGTTTTATAGGGAAATGACTTCAAGCTTTATTTTTTTCCCCAAGTATTTGTAATCCATCCAAAACATACTTGGGTCTTCTTTTTGTTAATGCGAAGACAATATTTCTATATTTCTTGATGTGCTCCATTGAATGACTAGTTATCATATTTTTCCCACGATCCAAAGACAAAAACGACCGCAACTATTTAATTTAATCATAAACCAAATTAATGTGATTTAAATAATAAGATAAGATAATAGCTTTATTCCAAATCAGTACTTGTGATACAGAATGGAATTCTCAGCATTTTTACTACAATATTCCATCCAGTTAGTACTTCAGCAATAAATAAAGTTCTACATAGATTAAAGTTATCTCAGTCAGTTTTGACAACAACATATTAACATGTCGGTAGCAAAGCCAAAATTTAAACAGTGTTTGAAGGTGTTAGAAAATGTTATGTACTCGTCGCTAAATTATTGTTATGGACTGGTCGAGAAACTAATAGTCCTGACGCAAGAAGGCGGAAATCAGAAGACTACTAGGTTTGCGATGATACTTCTATTTTCCAAACACAAGGAGAATGCAAAAGTGGTATCACACCAGAGTAAGTAAGTAAGTAAGTCACACAAATTGTGAGAGCGAAATATATATGAATATTCAGGCAAGGGTGTGAACAATCGTTAGACAGTCTTAACATGAATGGCTAATTATAATGAAGTATCGATCCATATATACATAGCGAAATATAGCAGACATCTCAACAACCACCATATATGGATATATGTCACCAAGCAACGGACTGTCAACAAACACTCATATTATATATAATATAATATAAGGAGAATATACATTGTTAAAGCAGACAGGTTCATCAAAGTGAAATGGTCACAGACTAAGCGAGCAATAGAAAGAGAGACCAACATACACACACACATATATATATATAAATGGATACATATAAGAAAAGTAGATACTACTAGCAGATTTACTGGCGTAAGCGATAGCAAAATGGTCGAGATATACAGAGTGTGAAAGAACGAACAAGAATGTTTTAAGTAGAGTTTGTAAGGAAGAGAGAAACAAAACAGCACATAACAAAAATAAATACAGAAAGAGAAAAAAAAGTAGAGAGAAAACGTTGTACCTGTAAATGATGTGAGTTGGAAAGACGAGATCCATTAGTTCTACTGACTATTTAATAAGTTAAAGTTTTCACGCCTAATGCTTTCTTTATCGCACAGAACACGAGCTAGGTAGGGTATGGATGAGTTTTTGTACTTACTAGTGCGGGCATATAGTTCCCTATATAGGCTTCTGGTTTTCCCTGAAGAGATACATGGGGAGAGTTGTGAATGTAGAGGGTGTTGTGAGTCAGATAAAATGGATTTCGCCCATTTTTCACATGAGTCCATGTGCCTGTCCACCAGAATATTAACAAGCTGGTTAAGTGGCAAGCTAATACTTATCCATGCTTGTATAATTGGTGTGTCCTACACAGGTAGGAAAAAATATGTATTTTATTATGCTATTATAAAATATGCTTACTAATCGTATATGTAATTTATCATATTGATGATGCCTGTAAACTGGCGTCCCTCATGTACAAAATAAGAATACATTATTATTACTATTATAACATATTTCCCACCACATTGCTAGATTAAATAGTTTGCCCTCCCTAATAAACTGAGTGTAGATACTTTGTCTTCTTCCGCCCCTGATAAAACTGGCAACCTTCAGTCAACAGCCACGAATCTTCTTTCATTTATCTAAGGCGTATAACTAAAATTCCCTTCATAAGATTAGTTTCATCATAGGAGTAGACGTGTTTCTTCCCATCGTTTAGTGCACAGGATGCTCAAAATAATTAATGAAGTTAACATTATGGGCTCTAACAACCAGCTGTTATCCCAAGCACCTTTACCACCAACTGTTCACCTAATGGCTTCATCTTTGTCAGCACACCACAACTTTATCTATTGTCGATTTGGATTACTCCTATTTTTATGCAATTTCGTAACCTTTGGCAATAACCTCTTACAACACGTGTATGCAAGTATACAGATAGTAGCCCCAAAAATGTCTTCATATAGCGTTGCATCTGGAGGAATTTTGGGGAGAATTTGTCATGAAAACCACTAACTGCCTATGTCAAGGAACTTATCTCTAGGCTCCTATTGTTACGAAGACGCTCCGCACCGATAAATACTACGTACTTTCTTCGACTTTAACTCCATAACACCAGTATTGTAAGAAGGAAGTTATATCGTTTGGCAACTAAAGTTTAGAACAGTCCAATTCTATAAGCAAATGTTTTGTACAAAAATTATTATGTACTTTTATTCGTTTTCGTTGAACTTGTACACGATCGAAACATTCGTGCCTTCGAGTTACCCACCAATGGCTACCAGTTCCAAAAAATGTATGTATTTTATTATATCATTATTATTAAGCATACTTGCTAATCGTATATATAATTTATCATTTGATAATGCCTGTAAACTGGCATCCCTCATGTACAAAAATGAGAATTTATTATTATTATTATTACAAAAAGAAAAGACGAAAAGGAACAAGTTAAATCACAGTTTTACAAAGAATGTCTTTTATAAATTAACTTTAGAAAAAAAGAGATCAAAAGTATGCTGTTTACCAAAAATCCACCCCCCCCCCCACCACCCGGTTAACATAAATAAAACACAAGCAAAATAGTCTGGAAAATAGAAATTCGATACTTTTTTCCTTAAAAATTAGATAAAATTGTATGAAAAAATTTATTGTTGATCGGAAAATCTTTAAACTCTAAAGCGAACAAGTTATTGCATTTTGAAGAGTGTATTGGGCAATTTCTGTTGGTAAATTTTTAAAGAATTCTAAAATCTGTATTAGTGATGGTCGACTCTCAGGCTTTGCTGACAACATTGATTTCAGTAGATTCATTACTTCTGATGGAATTCTAAGCAAACAGAAAAAAAGAGAGCATTTGAACATCAGTTAAATGATATACTCAAAATTATACACGTTCACATGAGTTAAATATTGAATAAAAACAACAAGAGCAACTGTTTGTGTAACCTCGCCTAAATTACTAGCTTGCTAGTTTTCTAGACGGTCCCAAGCCTGGATAAAGACGGAGGGTGGTGCTAGCGATTCCATCCCCCCCCCAAAAAAAAACTTAACCAAATTGCTACAGAAACTTCAACACACAAATATATTTTAAAAATATTACAAATATAAACAAGAACCTTATTTTTCGCTGGATTCGGGGAAGTGAAGTGATGCAGGCTGGTGAAAGCCTTCGGGAAGCCAGTCAGCCGATGTGCCTTCTTTCAATGAAAGCAAAAATAAGGATGGGGACATGGACTGTTCGTACGATGTACGAAACTACAAAGGCTGCTCAGGTAGCCGCAGAAATGAGAAAATATAGAATAGAAGTGTTGGGAATCTGCGAGAGTAGATGGAACGGATGTGGACGGTACCTATTATCAACTGGTTTCCAAATTACTTCAAATCAGTTCCTCTATACGGATCAGAAACTTGGCGGGCGGGTCACAAAGAATATTTCCAACAGCCTGTTGCAGACCGGACCTTTATCAACAACTGTCTTCGCTGGATTTATACTGAAGATCAGATGGCCGGGTCGGAAAGAATCACCAACAAGAAACTATGGGAACAAACAAAACAAGAACAAACCAATCGCCATTGAACATATATGCAGGAGAAAGTGGTTTGAGATGGATTGGACACTCGCTGAGGAGGCCACTGGGTGACATCGCGCACGTGTCAGGCCATTGCTCGAGTGGAATCAGGCCGAAAGAGAAGCGGCGAGTGGGACGTCAGTGCAAGGGCGACATGGAGGAGATCGTGTGAAGAAGAGTTGAAACAGTATGGACTAACATGGATGCAGGTGAAAAGTACAGCAGAAGCAATTGGAGACGTGTAGTTGAAGCCCTATGTTCCACTAGGAACCCAAGGGAATAATAACAATAAACAGTTTGTGTATAATAAGATGATATCATCACTTATTTCGTTGTCTTCTCGCATCATCAGTCTTTCCTTGCTCTGGTAACTGGATGCCTTCACTCTCACTCTCACTTGATTACATAGTCTCTGGACCTAACCTCTCTCTCTCTCCTACTTTGATATAGAGACACTTTTATTTCTAGAATTTGAGTTGCACTCACCACCATATTGTTGCTCAATTTATTAGTTACTCATCGTTTTATTCACACTTTGTCTTTATTGCATAACTCTTCTGCTATTGTATTCACGCATTTATTTCTGCTCAAACTCTAAATTTCTGGGTGTATAGCATATACATATATAAATATAAATACATATATATATATATATATATATATATATATATATATATATATATATATAATTGGTTGAATCTGATATGTATCCACATAATGTGTGTTTGTTTTTGACAGTCTGTTATATTTTGCTATGTATATATGGATCGATATTCCATTATAATTGACAATATGTTTTTGTCCGCCCACTAACTAACAAACATATCTGACCTTGTTGTCACATGACATTACAACCAATCATGTTAAGACTGTCTATTGATTCGTTCATTTTGAACATTCGCTCATACACTTGTGTGACATTGATTTTCCTTGTTTGAAAAATACAAGTATTATCAAGAACCTGGTGGTTTACTGATTTCCGCCTTCTTGCGTCAGGACTATTAATTACTCGACTAGTACATAACAGAACCTGGTTAATTTCTTTGTGTTTTGTAGACAGCCGATAAGAGAAGCTAAAGAAATAAAAAATCATGGTACTTTAACGGTAGAAGACGAAGGACTTGGTAAAGGAGTGTTTATTTGCAATTTGGTATCTCTATATAGCGAAACTATGTACACCTTAAATCTTCAAATCACCATTTGCACAGATCTTCCGTGACGGTTGTGCTACTTCTTGCCTTCCTTCATATTGTGTTTCTTCTTTCCACATCTGCCATGTGTATCTTCGCAACGCTGTATCATTTGCTTTCTCTGATATCAAATCTATCTCCCTGCTATGTGATGTTTTTATGCCGATGACCGTTTCTTTATTATACTACTGAAAAAATCTTATCAGTAGCTGACACACCACAGTACCATCTTATTCTGTACAAACCAACATCGTTCTTGCTTAATTCAAATTCACGTAAAGAGGAGCAGGCGGAAGAACTGGAAAAAATTGCTTCGACAGAAAAGTTGATCACATAATAAAAAGGAAAAAAACCGATCAGCTTAAGTTATATTTCATGGATGATTTCACCATCAGCTGACATCAGTTAGAGAACCATTGGAAAACCAACTGGGAGTACTGCACAGCTGTTTCGTCTTAGTTTGGGACTCTTCATCGGTGTGCACCCATCGTGGTTCGAAAACAGGACCTTCTGGTTACAAGGTTAGCGAGCTCGTAGACCATTGAGCCACCGGGACCCGATCCCATGGTTCTTGAATTCTAACTTCTGCTAATTCACGACATAGCGCGAGCATATAGCAATGTCTTCTTCGATGAGTTACTGCCTCATCTTCAACCTGCTATACCCTACTGGTCAAGGCTTCCCATGGCTTAAGTTACATTTCACAAATTAACCTATATCACTGTAGTTATAATAATAATGAATGTCACACTTGTCTCTCCTTTACCTGATGTATGAAACATCATTTAAAACAGCCTTATTATGATATGCTGAAAACGCAGCTATCAAATTCAACTAGTCTATTTCTTTCTAAATTAATGTAAACATAATTAAAGCAATTGAAATGATTCGGATAGATAGGAGTACAATAATTACTGAATACAATAGAGAACATTCGGCTATGAAATTCACATGCGAAGAGGAATCTCAAAATAGAATGAGTTGCGTTCCTGGATGTCCTCATTACAAGAAAACCAGATGATAGCATTAAAAAAAAGAAATTTGCATAGAAAAAGTACTTGGACAGGACAATATACACACATTTTCACAACTTCGTTCCTCTCAAGTACAAAAGAAATTTAGTGAAGATCCTAACTCAGCCACAGAGTTAGTTAGAGCTATATGCTCAGAAGAAGTAATTGAAGATAAATTAAGCATTGTATATGATACCCTGATCGAAAATAGCTATCTTGAAAAAGTTATCAAGAAACACATGACAAACAAAGAGGTGAAAAAGGACTGCTCACTATCTGTGAACAAGAAGCCACTTAATATACGACTGCAATTCAAGGGCAATATACCAAGTGAAATAATTAAGAGGAAATTAAGAAAATCAGTTCAAAGAACTTTTAATGCTGGCGAGCTACACGTATTGTTCTCTACACGACAGATGATGCTACCTAGACTGAAAGATGAAGTACCTAGACTAGACTAGCCACTTCTTCTAATTGTATCTACCAATTCAACTGCACTTGTAGTGAAGAGAGTTATATTGGCCGTTGCTCTAGGAACTTGAATTTTCGTGCCCGTTTGAGAACATCTCCCACTATGGCTGAGTAAAGGTGTAGTTAAAACCATTAACAGTTCGATATTGAACCGTCTGGTGCTAACCGGCCACAGAGCCAGCCAGAGTGGAAGAATCCTCCTCTGTCATCATCTACCGGGTGCCTAATAAACTGCCGAAATCATCGAAGCACTGCATGTTTCAAAACGGCAGAAGCTGTTGGAATTCGCCTCAAACAACCAGTGCTCTGTGTTCGAAAGAAGCAAGTCCAACCAGCCACTACCACTGCCCTAACCGACCTTCAGTAGAGACTATAAATTCATGAATTTGTAATATTATCTCTCCTAATTTTTGTGACATTCAGCTTATTTTATGTTGATGCTATTCAGCTGTAATCTATCAATATTATTGATTCGACGTTATTTAAACAACATTCATGATGTTGTTCATAACACTAATTCGTTCATTCATTCACTATAATGTATGTATAACTGTAGAGCCTGATGATGAAGGGGTTATCGAAAAGAGTATTCTTTGTTCAGTACCCATTCTTCTGAACATAGAAAAGAGAGGTGATGAAGATAACCAACCAACCAACCAAAAAACAACAAAAAGCAGCAGCAGTCAATACCAGCGGGAAAAATTTCAAAGAGGGCACTTTCTTCACTCATCTAGGAAGCAGCGTTTTAACCATAGGTGGTAGGCGGAACAGATGCAGATATCAAAGCCAGACTGAGTCGGAAAGGCGAAATATTTCCTCATTCAAACTAAAAAACCAGTTTGGAAATCTTCTGCACTCAGCATCATAAAAAACAAGATTCGAATTTTTAACAGTGATGTTGAGTCAGTCAGTTCTTCTATGTGTGTGTGTGTGTCAGAAACTTGGCGCCAGCGTAATGAAAAGCCTTCCTGACAGGCCACTGCAGAGTTTTACATTAGCACCTGCTTTCACCCTATATTGAAGATTAATTGGTCAGTTAGGAAGAACTAGCAAAAAGAAACTTTGGGAACAAATCGATCCAGAAATTATTGCTCGACTATTACGACAAAAGAAATGGAGATGGACTGGATAAACACTGAGGAGACTGTCGAATGACATCACACGCCAGGCCAGTGCTCACCACAAGTGGAAGCCGAATGGGGAACGAAGAGTAGGGCATGTAGCCGTCTGTCTGTTATCGACATAGAAACTTTGCACTGATGTGCGACAGTTCAAGTCACCACACTCCATGTACCACACAAAGCAATAGAAGAAATGCATAATAAAGACACCAAACAGACATATAAGGTAAAAAGAATAGTAATAACGAAGAACAACATAGTTTCATTGGAAATCACAAGTCACAAGAAGTGGATGCATCTGCGCCATTGACAACGATTTCGAGCCATATCACCAATAGTTCCCAGCCATTGGTTTTTACCGTCCCGAGGACCCCAACCAGTCAGGAAGTCTACACCTTCCTACGTGGCCTAAACTAACTGTTGTGGATTTCATTTACTGGTGAAGCCATCTTTTGTTTTGACCGCCGCTAGCTCTTTTCCAGTCTGATCCTATATCAGCTAACATTACCCGTCGAGGAAGGCGATGACTAGGCATACATGCGTAACACATGTTCTAACCATCTCTCTCAATCGGTGTAACCTCACACCCTCGTCGATTGATTTCCCCTCCGACCTACCTAGCACTCGACCATAGCCTAACCTCAATATTGCTCACCTTATTATACCACTTCACACAGGAGATAGAACGCAGGCACCTATGATCAAAGACAGCCAGCCAGGCTTTTCATGTCTTTCACTCTCAATGGCCAGGTCTCACAGCCATTAAGGAGGACGGAGCGGACTGATGAACAGTACGCACGCCCTTTGGTCGATAGCCACGGGTGACATGGAGGAGATCGTGCGAGATAGAGATGAGAGACAATAGACAATCGTGCGACCAGATAAAGGGGACCACAGAGAATGGGACAGAATGGAGACGAGCTGTTGAAACCCTACATCCCTCTCGGAGCCCAAGGGGAAACTAATAATAAATACAATGTGTACAGCTTTGAATCATATCCCCACTCACTAATTCTAAAAATTCCAAGTACCGTAACCACACGACCGAGCTCAGATCAACAAACAGTTAGTCAATCAATGAATTTGTGGATTCATACAGGATGTTGGCCTGTTTCATTCTTAACTCTTTCAACCGAATACGGCATCAGCTAAATTTACCCTGTCATGGACACAGTGGTTTGACATGAGTAACTGTTATTATCCTAGTCGCCTCAATCAATAGAACTTCACCACAACATCGAATAATCATAATCATAACAATCTCTATCTAAACCAAATAACTGATTATCATGTTGCTCTGATCAGTTGAGCGAAGAAACCCACGATCAAAAACTTGTGTAAAGTTTCTACGTTACACTTTCAGCAAACATGTTTCACAGTTGTAAAGTCACCACAATCTATGGAAACTCACTGGATTGTTTTACTTGCTTTCAAGTCTGAGCGCAGATTGACATCATACTTAGAGAACCATTGAAAACCGGTAGATGATACTGGAAAACTGTTTCTTCCTAGTTTGGGACTCATCAGCGGTACGCGCACACACATACACACTGGGATTCGAACCCAGGATCTTCTTATTGCAAGGCAAGACCGCAGAACATTCAGACAATGCGATCCGACCCAATGGCCCATGCATATTCGAACTTTATCAACTCGTGGTTTTAGCGCAATCAATCCATCGTCAAACTTAAAACAAATCACATCCCTACAAGCTAGACTCTCGAAAATTACTTGCTTTCCTAATCCAACACTATACTGATTGATTTTCTCAATACTAATCACCATGCTGTTTCTCAGTGGATGAGAACAAATGAACAAAAGACAATTAGACTTAAATTAGACAATAACTTCGAGATTTTACTTAAGGTTAAATTAAACTTACTGTGAAAAAGAATGCTTGGGAAAGAATATATTTGACGAACAAGCAGCCAACGCAACGCTATCCCCTCGAGAATGAACAATATCCATTGGAGACTTGAAGAAGAACAAGGCATAAAGCAGACATCCTAAAGACTACAATTCAGCGTTCATAAGCTAAAAAGATTTTAAAAATATACCCTACCCAAATGTCAGCTTTCTCCGTTATATCTTGGTCAGCTGTTGGGTTAAAAAATTCAGGCGCTCGATAAGTTAAAGAACAATTTTCTTCAGCAAACTCCTAAGACATAAAATGAAAGCGAAAAAGAAAAGATAATACCTTCCATTTTCCTGCATCTTTCAGGTTCTTGATATGAAGAATGGCCGGAGTAACAGAACCGAAGTCCATCAAGACTGGTCTCATATCCTCAAACAGAAGAACATTCCCAGGTTTCAAGTCTCTGTTGAATACGATTAATAAACTACCCCTGTTTTACCTGTGACACATTGGCGTATCGAGAGAAAGAAGCGCTAAAAGGCCTTCACATATGCCTATCATTAAATTTCTTATGGAATGAATAGAAAAGGCATTGTTCTGTCCACATCGGATATCAATCTCCTTTTGAAGTGTACCCCTCTGCGATAAATCTATGCACATGTATAAAAAATATATATACCTTGCTGTAACACAAGACTAACAGAACTTCTGAAATCGCCCCTTGTTGTTGTCGAACAATCTCTTGTAAGCCGATTGCCACACAAGGCAGCAAATTAGGATGACTATGGAGGCTTAAATGAAAATTGGCCTCTCTTAATGCTTTTATTTCATCATCCTTTGAATGACACGAAATTCGTTTCAAGGCGAACAGTCGTCTAGACGTCTTGTCAACAACCAGATCAATGCGACTAAACCCACTGCGTAAGATTTCATGATTTATTATATATTCACAGTAAGCCTACCCAGTGTCTACCTTATCACGGACATAAAATGTTTTCCAATCTCCTGATGGGTCTTTCACGCGGATAGTATCACTGCATGGGTTTATGCAACCCAAAAGAAACAATTTTCTAAGGACCATACATTAACATGAAAATTCAGAAGCTAAAGAAAATAAAAAACAAATTAGACTAAAAAGAGATACTGTTTGCCCAAAAGGTTGGGTTCATTTAAAACTAAAAAAACATTTCGATACCAGTGGTTACTTTTTTTACGGAGTGGGGTTGTTGGCCTTACGCCTAATATTTCTTCCCTCTCTATCGGCTTTAATACCGGCTTAGCGAAGCTTATTTTATTTTTATTTAAACGCAGAAAAAAACTTGGCACAATATGGCACCAAGAAAGATGCGCCACACAATAACAATAAAACAACATAGATCAAAAGCAAAAAAAGAAATATAAGTAGAGAACGGATAAAGAACTTCATCTGGAAGGAAAACAGTCATGCTTAAAAAGTTTAAACAGTATTCGTCGACTATCATCGGGAAGGGAAGAAAGAAGGAAATTGCAGCACGTTTGCCATTGATTACGATTCTTGCCCACATCCGATAACGTTTGGAGCCATGGATTCAAGCTATGTCGCGGACCCCTAACCAGGGAGTCGTGGCGCACCAGCCGATGCTAATCTAGCACAAACATCCATTATCCCACGACGCCACGTCATGGACATGAACTGACCACCCCTCCGCCTTTTCCATCTCATCCCAGGGCTAGCGATAACATTCGCAGCACATGTCCAAGCCACCGGAGCCGGTGTTTCCAGATGACGACGCTCAATGAATGGTGATCTCCACTGTATTCAAACACACGCCGCCGAACCTCAGAATTACTCACGCGATGATGCCATCGAACGCAAGTAATCCTGCGGAGACAGCGATGATCAGACACGCAGAGTCGCCGTACATCCTCAGCTCGGGGGGGGCAGGTTTCACAGGCGTAGAGCAAGACAGCCCGCACCGAAGCATTGTATACCCGTCCTTCGACAGCCAGGCTATTAGTGAAGCTTACTATTGCGTCTGCAGGAGATTGAGTCACGGGCCATGTGTGTGGATGGGAAGTGTTCTACAGCTGAACCATTGAGGCACAAACTAATGACTATGTACATATTATATTTTCAGCCATAAAAAATAGAGTATGTTCTCAATAACAAGTAAGATCCATCTATATTGACTGTCAGCAAACACGTACACTTAATGATGCACATATCTTTGGGTTGAATTTACAATCTGCGTACCAAAGTTAACTGGCAAGAGAAGTTAATCTGCTAAAGAACCTCAAACTTGTTTGACTTAATTAAAGATTGAAAAAAGACGGGAAAATCTTGAGTAGACGAGAGTAAGACAAGACTGATCACGATTGTGACATGAATATTAGCTGCAAATGGGGGAGATAGATTGGCAGTAGAGCAGCGTGATGAAATTACATCTCTTTAGTCAGATTGCTATTCATTTGAGCTCAGTCCGTGTGTTGCTGCATGCTTATTCAGTCACCACCGTTTGAAGCAATCTAGTGATACTGTGATGAATACAGCTTCCTGTAATACATTACAGAGGCTTCAAACCCGAAGCAAATAAAAGTATGAGCACAACTGAGTCTTAACTGTCTGATGGATGATCCTTCGTGCGTTACCATGAGCAACTCAATAACGACCTTCTGGCGTCACCTTATCAGGATAATTTTAGAAGGTGGTGTTCATTGTACCATAGGACTGGGAAGTTGCATCAACAATGATGAAATGGTTGCTAATGAGATCTCATCACAGTTACAAATGACTCGTGAGGCATTTCCCAACTTACACCATCACTGTTGTGTCATATCCGCCTATCGATCAAAGAAGGTATTCACTGAGCAGGAGTTCGCTCCGCGCTCTTTTGTGACTGTGAGACACGGCCTTTGGAAGTGAAAAATATTAAAATGCTAGCTGTGTTCCACCACAGATATTTTCCTTCTTCTCTCTACGCTTGTGTGGTATACGGAGTGTGGCAACTTGAACTGCTGAACTTCTGCGAGAAGTTCTATGATGAAACGAAGAGTTCAATGTGGCCTTAAACCGACAACAGCCATGTGTGTAGTTTTAGTTTTATTGACTCATTGCTTAAATACTTAAACCGAGTACACACTACCTTTTTATTAACCTTTTTCGCACTTCTTCCAAAAGGTTAGCCTCTCATTTAAGGGATTTCGGGCCTCGGGTTGTGGTTGTACGTAGGTTTTGTGGAGCCTTAAGAAAATCTTTGAAATCAGTATACTGAGCCGTTCATACATGAAGTCAAGCACAGCATATGTCACAGCCACGTCTTTCACACAGTTTATGATCGTTCTCCATTATCATGACACCTAGGAAAAGCTAAAATCATGGAGAGATAGAGTAATTCACCTTTAGAGCTATTGGGGTGTAAAATCAGAACAATATATCTCCTACGACCGAAAGTCATTTGGTTAACTAATGGGCGGATATCTAAGGTCCTTGGTTTTTCTTGAGTTTCTCACGCTTTTTATGGTTTCCAAATGTACATCTTGGAAGTAAAAGAGAAGCGGATACGACGAACTTCCCAAAAGGTCATCTATAGATGATAAAACAAAGTAAGACTAAACCCAGAATAGTCCTCTTGTGAAAATCAGATCAATAGACGCCTAGATCAGCAATTATGGAAGACCTGTCTTCAGTAGACATAATTTGCAAGCTACCAGAGAAGCGATTCGAAGTCTGTCCAGCGTAACCATACAAAGCAGCATATGATGCTGAATGTCGTCGGATGCAGCCATAAGACTAAGAAAACCTACGAACTTTAATATTTGTGTGTCAAAACAACATCCAGTTGTTTTATACCGACAAACCGCTCTGTTTGGAGTACGTGATCCTCTGAACTCGTTGTGTTTCACGGACTCATTTAAACCAAAGCTTTTCCCTATGCAATGGTTGAGTCGGCAGGGGGTCGAATCACGGACCATATGTATGGTCGGCGAGAGCCATAACCGCTGTGCCACTGACAGTAGTGTTACATGTGCGCAACAGAATTTTTTTTATTGAGCGCCAGATTCTAAAATAAAGAGAGGATGACTCGCTTCCTGTCTGTTTTCGACACAGAATTTTGCACCGATGTGCACCAGTTCAAGTCGCCATACTCCCTTCATGTAGCACACAAAGCAAGAGAAGAAAGTAGAAGAAACGCATACTAGAGACATTAAACAGAGGTGTGAGACAAAGGAATAGTAATAACGAAGAACGATATAATTTCATTTGAAATCATAATTCACAAGGAGTGGATGCATCTGAGCCAGCCAGCCATTGAGAACGATCACTTTGAGCCATATCACCAATTGTCTCCAGCCATTGATTTTTACCATCCTGAGGACCACAACCAGTCAGGAAGCCTATACCCTCCCCCTATGAGAATTAAACTAACTGTCGTGGATTTCATTGACTGGTGCCATGTTTTTGTTTGACAACCGCTAGCTCTTTTCCAGTCTGACCCTATGTCAGCTAACATTGCCCGTCGAGGGAGGAAGGCGATGACTAGGCATACGTGAAACATGTCCTAACCATATCAGTCTATGTAACTTCACAACCTCATCGATTGATTTCCCCTCCTTAACTAGAACTCGACGCCTAACCTCAATATTGCTCACCTTATTGTACCACTTCACACGGGAAATAGAACGCAGGCACCTATTATCAGAGACAGCCAGTCTGGCTTTTCATGTCTTCCACTCTCAAGGGCCACGTCTCACAGCTGGCCATAAAGGAGGACGGAGCGGACTGATGAGGAGTACACCCGCCCTCTGGTTGATAGTCGGATATCTCGCTTCCAATACATATGGAGTTTCTGGGAAATTGTTATATACTACTACAGACTATACAGATGGCTAAAGAAAGCTTATTGCCAAGCCAAAGTCGGGTTTTAAGATGGCGAAAACATGACAACAGAGGAGACAGAAATATTGGTATTATTCACATCACAGAAATCTCATCGGTAGAGACCCCACTCCACTGAGGTGCACTGCGTTGGTGATGTGTTGGATGGTGCATATGCTGTTGCATATACAGGAAAAATTATCCTTGTCAAAATGACGTCTGAATGTGGATAGCAACATATGGTTTCATCTAAATGACAGAAATCTTCGTGAACTAACGCCCGTAATTCATGAAAAGAACTTGTAACATGCTTCTCGATTCTCCAGGAATAAATTCACGGTAACTAGTCTAGTTACTTTACATAAATTGGTCTACGAGATTAAATTAAATTATCTAAGGCGAGCCAGTTGTTGCTCTAACACTAAATTTTTCATTCCGAAATCCAGCATCCTGCAGTTGTGTCCACAAAAGCAGGACCTCTACACTGTGATGAACGTCATCGGGCATATCCATCTTCGAAGACAGGTGAGCAGCTATGAGTAGTCACCGTACATGACCGCATGAATATTTGTCCAGACTATGTTAAACGTTAAGCAATAGACATATAGGTAAAAATAGACAGTAGTTTTGTAGGCTAACGATAGGGTGGATACGTTTGCGCAGATAAGAAGTATTTGCAACTACATTCAAAGATCAAGTGGAAAACTGTGGGGAAACTTCGGGGGGAGGGAGTAATCTTGGGCAGTCTAACTTAAAATTCTGAGAGAAATGAATCAGGTTTTCGGCATTTTTGTGAAAGCTCCAAAATCGTCATAAATGTCACAAAGTTCGTCATAAGCCCAAAGAGCTACTAGATATTTTAGTGGAGGAGGCTATTTATAACGAATAAATAGATTTTATTAGTGATAACAAAATGCTCTTCAGGACCTGGGAGAAAGGTTCCACCAGAAGAGGTACCTTGAAATAAACCATGCCCAGTAATCTTGAGTTCTTAATCTAAGTCAACTACTCAACGAAGTAAGACTAAGCTAGATGGCCTTGAACAAGCAATAATTATAAACTTACCTTGCGAGTTTAAATTCATAAGGAATATAATATAAAATATATATATAATATAAAGACTGCCGTGAAGAAGAGGCGTACCAGGGGTCGAAAACCTGCAGCTCCAGTCGCCCAGGGACTGGCGGAACAAGCCTCATCCACACCGGTGAGCAGCAGACAGACGA